ATGGGATGCCAACCCACAGAAGTGTGTGACCAAGCTGGTAAGCAGCATGAGGAAGATGAAGCAGGCTGTTGTGAATGTGTATGGGTCTTTGACACTTCACTGTGGTCCGTCCATCCATTATCTTTTACCGGCTTCTTCCATTTTGGGTCACGGGGGTCGCCGGTGCCCATGTCCAGCAATCACAGAGCGAGGGGCAGGGTACACCCTGGACAGGTCGCAAGTCCATTACAGGGCTCCACTGTGGTCCCTGTTTGTTAAATAAATATGTTAGTAAATTGCCAGTATTTCTTGCTTTTAAACACTAAATTAAATTAATCCAACAAATGACGCCTAACAGTCAGCAACAGCAGAAAACAACTGTTGAGCATTGGCAGAAAGGACTTGTCAAGTTTTTCATGGGTGAAACCTTCATACTCAATTCTGCTGCTGATCAGGACAAATGTCCTGATGCATGCTCAAGAATCCAGCTATGGTAAATAAATCTAACAAAGTTAATCAGGTCCTCTGGATGGGTACTTCGTTGTTGAAACGTTTTGTCTTTATCCAAAAGACCTTCAGTCTCAGGAGCTACAAGCAAATTCAGTCTTATCAGTAGCATGCACCTTCTCACAACAATCAACGAGAAGATCAACAGTTTGCTGTGTGACAGCCAAAACTAGTTGTTCATGTGCAGAAGTTAAACCATCAGCCTAACAACCGATCATGAGTGCTCTGATGGCTGCTTGCTACTCACAGAGGACTGAGTGATACTAGCAATAACAGCGTTGTAAGAAAGAGATAGTTGAAAATGGAGGCCTCCGCCTCTGTTTAATGATGGACAAGTTCTTTTCACAAAGATGGCTTCCTTCACTCTTCTCTCAAATCAACATTCCTCTCTATCTCTATCTCGGTCTGGGTTCCTCCTTTTCACCTGTTGGCTGACTGGAGTCCTGTTTGGGTTTCTTCTCTGCTTTCAGGAAGGCCCAGTTAGGATATCCACATTGCTCTAGAGCCTGTTTTGTGTAGGATTTCTCCTTCTGCCTGGCTCCTGAGTTAGTGGGGACGTCATCTGCTCTGTGGTACAGAGTCCTGATGACTCCTAACTTGTGCTCCAAAGGGTGATGGGAGTCAAACTGCAAATACTGGTCTGTGTGGGTGGGTTTGC